GAGAGAGAGAGAGAGAGAGAGAGAGAGAGAGAGAGAGTGACGCATAAGGCTAAATCCATCCAGTTGCTGAATGCATACAACACACACAATAGTGCAAAATGAAAAGGAGGGAGAAGGAGAGCGATAAGAGCATTATGTCTACGTCATCGGTGAAAGAGTAACTGGACCCGCGGGGCAGAGCGGATAAATAAAGCAGCGAGGAGTGTGGGTAATATTACCCACATTTCTCTGCTGCTTGTGGCCTTGCTGCCTGTCATGCTCTGCTGGTCAGTGATGTCACTGAGACTGCAGAGGGGTTCACTGGCCCTGCCCCTCACTGACATACACAAACATCACAGGAGTATGTAAATACACACACACACACACACACACACACACACACACACACTGCAGATGCTTAACTATTAAACACGCCGCCTGTAAATTTAAACACACATGCACATGACTCCTCGTCGATATCTGCCGCTCAATAATTCATGGTACAGTTTCAATGCAGTGTGGGCCAACAGCTTTCACACACACACACACACACACACACACACACACACACACACACACACACACACACACACACCAGATAACCAAAGGTGGACTCTTGCTCTGCTCCACACAAGTTTTTCTTGTAGTTTGGAGTCTTGCTTCAACACTTACTGACAGAACGGGCCGCAGCAGGGTGGATAGGTATCAAGACTCTGGCCTCTTATCACAAACAAGGTTACACCACACACTTGTGTACTTCAGAGGCTCTCACTAAATATAGGAAGGGAGGAGCAGGAGGAGAGAGAAAGAGGATGAGGAGCTGACTGGTTTGCACCCATATATGACCTCTGCCTCATCGCCTGCAGCACATGGTGTCACCCTAAACTCTATTGCTGTGTTCGACCCTGGTTCAGTCCCCTCAGCCTTTGAGTTGTTTGTTATAAATAGACGTGCATGCTGACAATCACCACCGCCACCGATTCATAACGTCTATCTACTGTTTTCCCAGTTAAAACAGATTCCAGCTGTCCACCTGCAGGCTTGTGTTGGGATCTTGTTGTGCTCTCTACCAATGCTGTGTTGTGTTACTGTACCGGCTCAGAAAATGCTTAGCCCATCTCAGTGAAATACTGCGCACCTCCACAGGAGGCCAAGGGCACTCTCCCTGGGACAGAGGGAGGCCTTTAAATCACATTTGATCACATAACCACACACACACACACGCAGGGGGAGGGACAGACCACAGCACATACGATCCTGCAGTCAGGGGAACAGGAAACATAAACAGTAATAGTGTGTAAGTTCTCTCCTTATATGAAATGATTCATTCTCTCTTCATGGCAGCTCAACCTGCTGCCTGCGCTATAAACAGCAGAGGGATTCCTCCAATTGTTCACACAGGGGAAAAAGCTTCAGAGCAAACAGTGTGTGTGTGTGTGTGTGTGTGTGTGTGTGTGTGTGCATTGTCCAGCAATTGCATGTGTATTTACTAGTTCTTATTTTCCACAAGATGTTTAACTATCCCTTGAAATTTCGGGAAGAACACAAATGCTCTCTGTCGCCACCTGATGAAGCCGAAGAGCATTGATGTTTTTCGATCAGATGAGACACGGAGCAGTTTTTGTTCCTCGACTTTATCATCGAGAAAATCAAGATACATTGACGTGAATTGACAAAATTCCTTTTTGATTTGTTGGGAAAGGATTCAACTTTCAAGCGATAGGTATTTCAGTGTAAACATATTTGCCAGCTATGTGTCTCTCTGTTTCTCTTAAACAGATGTTTTTCACTTCATTTACTATTTGATTATGATTCAAAAACAAAAAGATGTTTGAATAATTTAATGAGGTCGTCTGTTTTACTACGATCTGATATAGAAAGGTTATCAGAAAAAGAAAATATTGTCACGGAGTGTGGCTACATTCAAGTGGAGTAAATCTAAAACACCACAGGCAACAGTTTGATCACCAAAATCTGTATTTATAATACAACACAATTATGTGAATAGGCTAAAGAATAAGGTTTATAGGCATAAACAAGACAAACATGTGGTCAACTATCGTGTGAGAAAGCCGCCAAAACAGCTGGAATCTCAAACAAGTGCTCACTCGGCTGCTCTCAAATCCACGCCTGCATGTGACCTCTCAAATGTTGACTTTGCAGATTGAGTTTAGCGCTCCCGATTTGTTTTGCGGCTCTGAAATCTTTTTTCACCGCGAGACTTCCATAGCAGAAATTCTCGGGCACAGAGCGGAGTGACTGAAGTGATTGATGCCTCAGAGGTTGTTTGAAATGAAGAGCGGATCCTAAAATGTCAAACGAGTAACTTGTACCAACATGTTTTCATACACAAGATCCAGGCAGGTGTCACAACAGCATTAAAGGTGGTATCTTGTTTGATTTGCTAGATCAAATATTTGGAGGATTTGTAATGTGTCTCTTTCCATCCAGGGGAACAGAGGCACAGGCCTGCAGAGAGCATCCTGCTGTGGGATCAAGCTCCTGGCAGAGGGGGACATCCTGATGGGAAATATGGGATGCAGCTCTTCATCCCTCCCCCCCACTGCCACAAATCTCTCAGGAAACTCTCCTCTTCCCTCTCTCTCCCTTCTCTCACTTACCCTCTCTGTCTTTCAATACTTTTTGGATTTCTCATCCTCCTTTCTTTGCTTTCATCCACTTCACCGCCTGCATGGCCAGGAACAACCTTCATTTTGAAATGATATTGGTATTTTCGTTACTGTGCAAATATTTGAAAGAGTTTCCAAGTTTAGTTCAAATGCTCCAAACTGATTTTTTTTACAGTGCCCGTGTTTTTTCTTCATTCAAGGCACATGAAGACACGGGGACACAACAGGGGAAATGGGACATTCCTAGCAACATATGAATGCACATGAAGTGAAACCCTTTTAAACTATGTGCCTGGTTTTGTGACAATTTCTTCTTCCTTTGAACTGTGACAGGTGGATTTGAACACACACCCGCTAGATGCAATTGCTACATGGGCTTTAGCCCAAGCATTTGGATCATTAAGAGCCCTGAAGGTCTCTCTCTGAAGTTCTTAGAGGCTTATTGTCACACAACGTGATCACACCATTGATTTCGCAGCCTGTGAGGCCTCTTGTAAGTGAAGGTGTCGACTTTCAAATAAAAATCCAAACTACAAAAAAAAGAAAAAGCTCAGAGGAAGAACACAAAAAGGAAACGTCTAGCTTTTAGTGAAGAATTGATTTTCTGTGATCGCCAATAAATAACAGAGAATGAGGCACAACAACAGGGTTTTGACGGGAGAATGACC